GTAAATAGAGGGAGGGGGTGGGGCTGAGGGGATGGGGATTTGGGATGGTGATAGGTGAATGCAGGTAGTGGGTTATTGTGATTGATCAGTGGAAGGGTGGAGTGGATAGGTGAGTAGGAAGATGGACAGATTAGGTCAGGTCAGGAAGGGAAGAGGACCAGGAGGGCTGGACATGGGATAAGGCTGGAAATGGAGGGATTTTGAAGCTGGTGAAGTCAATATTGAGGCCATTGGGCTGTACAAAGGTGTTGTTCCTCCAGTTTACATTTGGCCTCTCTCTGACAGCGGAAGAGGCCAAAGATGGACATATCACCAGGGGAGTGGGAGGGGGAATTAAAATGGATGGCAACCAGAAGGTCGGGTTGGTTGGTGCATGCAGAGCGCAGATGCTCTGTGAACCAGTCCCCACATCTGCATTTGGTCTCTCTGATATAGAGGAGACAACATCGGGAGCAACGGATATAATAGATCAGGTTGGATGAAGTGCAAGTGAATCTCTGCCGGATCCAGAAGGATTGTTTGGGGCCTTGAACGGAGGTGGGAGGGGAGATGTAGGGGCACCTCTTGTGGTTGTAGGGAAATGTACTGGGCGTGGTGGGGAAGTTGGTGAGGAGTGTGGAGCTGATGAGGGAGTTGCGGAATGAACGGTCCATGAGGAAAGCCAACAGGGGTGGGGAATGACCAATCCCAATAAGCCCCTACTTGCTTCCACCTAACCCCATCCCACCTGTACTTCCCCCAGCCTCACCTTCTCCCTTTATTTACTTCTGGTCTCCCCTCCACCTCCCCAGTTTTGATGAAGAGTTTCGGCCCAAAACGTTGACTTTCCTGCTCCTCAGATGCTGTCTGAACTGCTGTGCTTTTCCAGCTTCACATCTACTGACTTCTATTTCCAGCATCTGCGGTCCTTACTGTCTCCAAGGGTGGTCAGTGCATTGAGTCTAGGAGTTGGGTTGTCATGTTGCGGCAGTACAGACATTGGTTAGGCCACTTTTGGAATACTGTATTCATTTCTGGTCTCCCTGCTGTTGGAAAGATGTTGTTAAACTTGAAAGGGTTCAGAAAAGATTTATAAGGATATTGTCAGGGTTGGAGGGCTTGAGCTATAAGGAGAGGCTGAATAGGCTGGGACGTTTTTCCTTGGGGCATCAGAGGCTGAGGGTTGACCTTGTAGAGGTTTATAAAATCATGAGGGCCGTGGATGGGGTGAATAGCCAAGGTCTTTTCCCTAATGTAGGAGAGTCTAAACTAGAGGTAATTAAAAGGATTAAAAGGATCACATCTAGTGAACGTGCACAAAGTCACCGAAAGTAAATGCTTCTGTTCTCATCAGTTGCATATGAAATTAAAGTGTAAAGACAGGTGTGATACTCCACTGTGGTTGAGAATCTGTAAACAGTTTTGTTGGGAAAAGGGTTTAATCATTCTTTTTGCTGTTATTGCTAAAAACATTCAAAATTGTCACATATAAAGCTTTGTTTCTTTTTTCACCTTTATGCGTAAGAAACATTGACATTCTTTTGTTGAAAGTACATTGGTAACCTCTTGTGAGTATGTTTTGTCATTGACCATCGTAGTATTTCAACTCTTTTAAAATAAAACTTTGACCTATCCAGCCAAGTTTCTGTCTAGGATATGACTTGTCCTGTATTACTATTAGCTGGGATTATAACAAAAGAAAGATAAAAAGAATTAGGGAAACAAATAAAAACCGAAAGAACTGCGGATGCTGTGAATCAGGAACAAAAACAAAGTTGCTGGAAAAGCTCAGCAGGTCTGGCAGCATCTGTGAAGGAAAAAACAGAGTTAACATTTTGGGTCCGGTGATCCTTCCTCAGAAGGGTCTGAAGAAGGGTTCTGAGGAAGGGTCTGAGGAAGGGTCACCGGACCCGAAAATGTTAACTCTGTTTTTTCCTTCACAGAAGCTGCCAGACCTGCCGAGCTTTTCCAGCAACTTCTGTTTTTGTTAGGGAAACAAATAATGGATTTATAGAGAGAAATTAAAAAAAAAAGATAAGGGAGAAATAAATTCAGACAGTGTAATGTTTAAATTTAAAGCTGTCCAGTTGATGAGCAAAACGTCATTGGTTTAGCAGTCTCTTTCTGGACCCTCAAGATTGAGCTTAGATTAAACTATTGTCATCTTAACCACAGGAATTTGTAGCCCCAAATATCCATCTTGTGATTCATTTATTTACAATTATGCTGGCTAAGAACTTTTCTTCTACTAGTCATTCCTTGAAGCAAGAAGGATGCTTGCCAAGGAGTAGAAACTATGGCAAGTAATTATCCATGATGTATTTTGAAATTGGGAGGCTGTTGCAATGCAGCTACCATATGGTTTTCATTAGGAGGAGATTATTCTGCTCTTATTGTCTGTAACAGGTGCATCGGAAAGGTTTGTAGGTTATTAATCAATATATTTTGCCCAAAGTGGCTTATGGCGGGCTAGCAAAAATGTTCCATCAAATTGTGGCAACTCATAATTCATGACATTATTTCTGCCATGTCACGTATTGCTGGTTTTTGTACTCGCTAATAATGGTAGCTATCACAAACTCGCCTGAAAACAAAAAATGCTGGAGATCACGTGGGTCAGGCAGCATCCATGGAGAGAAAGCAAGCTAACCTTTCAAGTCTAGATGACTCTTCATCTGAGCTGATATGATGTGTAGAGGGGGCAGCATTCATGCTACAGTTGGGGCGGGGGTTGGAGTGCTGGGGGAGAAAGGATGTTAATAGTTCAGATTAAGTGATTGGAATATGAGAATGGCAGAACAATGGTGTGTTTAACTGACAGACTAGAACATAGAACATAGAACATAGAACATAGAACATTACAGCGCAGTACAGGCCCTTCGGCCCTCGATGTTGCGCCGAACTGTGAAACCAATCTGAAGCCCATCTAACCTAAACTATTCCATTATCATCCATATGTTTATCCAATGACCATTTAAATGCCCTTAAAGTGGGCGAGTCTACTATTTTTGCAGGCAGGGCATTCCACGCCCTTACTACTCTCTGAGTAAAGAACCTACCTCTGATATCTGTCCTATATCTATCACCCCTCAATTTAAAGCTATGTCCCCTCGTGCTAGCCATCACCATCCGAGGAAAAAGGCTCCCACTGTCCACCCTATCTAATCCTCTGATCATCTTGTATGTCTCTATCAAGTCACCTCTTAACCTTCTTCTCTCTAACGAAAACAGCCTCAAAACCCTCAGCCTTTCCTCACAAGACCTTCCCTCCATACCAGGCAACATCCTGGTAAATCTCCTCTGCACCCTTTCCAATGCTTCCACATCCTTCCTATAATGCGGTGACCAGAATTGTACGCAATACTCCAAGTGCGGCCGCACCAGAGTTTTGTACAGCTGCAACATGACCTCATGGCTCCGAAACTCAATCCCTCTACCAATAAAACCTAACATACTGTACGCCTTCTTAGCAACCCTATCAACCTGGGTGGCAACTTTCAGTGATCTATGCACATGGACACCGAGATCTTTCTGCTCATCCACACTACCAAGAATCTTACCATTAGCCCAGTACTCTGTATTCCTGTTACTCCTTCCAAAGTGAATCACCTCACACTTTTCCGTATTAAACTCCATTTGCCACCTCTCAGCCCAGCTCTGCAGCTTATCTATGTCCCTCTGTAACCTGCAACATCCTTCCGCACTATCCACAACTCCACCGACTTTGGTGTCATCCGCAAATTTACTAACCCATCCTTCTACGCCCTCATCCAGGTCATTTATAAAAATGACAAACAGCAGTGGCCCCAAAACAGATCCTTGAGGTACACCACTAGTAACTGAACTCCAGGATGAACATTTCCCATCAACCACCACCCTCTGTCTTCTTACAGCTAGCCAATTTCTGATCCAAACAGCTAAATCACCCTCAATCCCATGCCTCTGTATTTTCTGCAATAGCCTACCATGGGGAACCTTATCAAACGCTTTACTGAAATCCAAATACACCACATCAACCGCTTTACCCTCATCCACCTGTTTGGTCACCTTCTTGAAGAACTCAATAAGGTTTGTGAGGCACGACCTACCCTTCACAAAACCGTGTTGACTATCCCTAATCAAATTATTCCTTTCTAGATGATTATAAATCCTATCTCTTATAATCCTTTCCAACACTTTACCCACAACCGAAGTAAGGCTCACTGGTCTATAATTACCAGGGTTGTCTCTACTCCACTTCTTGAACAAGGGGACAACATTTGCTAGTTTCCAGTCTTCTGGCACTATTCCTGAAGACAATGACGACATAAAGATCAAAGCCAAAGGCTCTGCAATCTCCTCTCTAGCTTCCCAGAGAATCCTAGGATAAATCCCATCCGGCCCAGGGGACTTATCTATTTTCACACCTTCCAGAATTGCTAACACCTCCTCCTTATGAACCTCAATCCCGTCTAGTCTAATAGACTGTACCTCAGTATTCTCCTCGACTACATTGTCTTTTTCCTGCGTGAATACTGACGAAAAATATTCATTTAGCACCTCTCCTATCTCTTCGGACTCCACGCACAACTTCCCACTACTGTCCTAGAAAGAAGACAGTCCCACTAGAGTCGGGGTGGGGGGAGTGGTGTGGGGGATACTGGAGAGAGGACATGGTGGTGTCAATTAGACATACTATTGTTCTCACATTCTGATCACTTAATCTGAACTATCAACATCCTTTCTCCCCCAGCACTCCAAACCACACCCCCACCGACTATTGCATAAATGCTGTCCCCTCTACACTTCATGTCAGCTTTGAAGAACAGTCATCTCGTCTCAAAACACTAGCTTGCTTTCTCTCCATAGATGCTGCCTGATCTGCTGTGATTTCCAGTACTTTTTTTGTTTTCAGTACAGATTCTAGCATCTGCAGTAATTTTGCTCCTATATCATAAACTCACCATTATTTTTCCTGCAATTTCTAATCAATTATAGTGCTTTACTACCTTTACAATATTTTCCTGAGCCTTTTCTTTTACCTGTATCACTCCACCACCTCCAGTACCAGTCACAGCCAGAAATTCTTCAGGCAGGTTCAGCATCTTTCCCAGCCAGTCAAGCATCACAGTTTCCAACTCTGTACATGCAGGGCTTGCAGCCTAAAGGCAAAAACAGTCATTTATTTACACCTCATGAGCTTATACAGAAATTGGTTGGATTAATACTGTTTAAAGTAAAATATCTTTTATTGAGCAACATCAAGTTAGCAAACACAATAACTTTTTCTTCATGGAATGTGAATATCATAGGCAAGGCCAGTATTTGTTGCCCATCTCTAATTTCCTATGCCAAGAACAATGTTCTTACAAGTTTAACATAGGGGGTGAATTTACTCAGATCTTTTTCTCACCATAAAATTAGTAAGTGGGGTATCTGCCAAACATCCACTGAAATAATAATGCTGCTGTGGGAATAACTTAAATGAAATTCATCCCAAAGTTGTTTTAGTGTTAGAATTATTTGAATTGCTCAAGCAAAAGAAGTAACTGAATCGAGCACCTCCATTAAAATGTAAGGTATTATTTTGAAAAGTGAAATGAAGTCGATTTTTACTCTGCATCTATTTTGTTAAGTGTAAACTAGCAAATTGTGAAAACTGCAACATTCACGAGTCAGATTGTTTCAAGGTGTTGCTGTATTTGACTTTTTTTTATTCACTAACGGGATGACGGTGTCGCTGGCTAGGCAGCATTTATTGCCCATCCCTAATTGGCCAGAGGGCAGTTCAGAGTCGACCACATTGCTGGGGTCTGGAGTCACATGTAGGTCAGATCAGGTAAGGATGGCAGTTTCCTTCCCTAAAAGTCATTAGTGAACCAGATGGGTTTTTCTGACACTTGCAATGGATTCACGGTCATTATTAGACTCTTAATTCCAGATATTTACATTGAATTCAAATTCCACCATCTGCCATGGCGGGATTCGAACCCGGGTCCCCAGAACGTTATCTGGGTCTCTGGATTAATGTCCAGCGATAATAGTTCCAAACTGTTAGTTATATTTGATTCCGCCTAGCAATATGGACAGGGGCATGTTGCAAAGTTTTCAATAGACTACTCAGAAAAGTTCAAAGGTTACTGAACAGCCAATTTTAAGCATTTGGACAGAGACATACAGAGGACAAAATTGTTATCTGCTCGTCAGTCAGGTATTTAGGAGCAGAGAGAAGCAATTCTGTCCTGAGAAAGGTGCTGCTGCAGCAGGTTATGACACAGCAAAAGTACATGGAGGCAAGTCCCTAAGCAGATCATAACTTAGCTTTGGGGGCTCTTGTGGGATTTGAAATGAGGACTTGCTGGAGTTAAGGTTATTAGGATTTTAAGGTGAATTGTACTCTACATATTGAAAGTTAAAATAACTTTGTCAGTTGTTGTGACTTTTCTGGGGAAAAACCCACGGCCTCCAACCTCATCGTTCCCCAACCTCGCACTGCCCGCTTCTATCTCCTTCCCAAAATCCACAAACCTGAATGCCCTGGTCGACCCATTGTCTCCGCCTGCTCCTGCCCCACCGAACTGATCTCCAACTATCTAGACTCCATTTTCTCCCCCTTGGTCCAGGTACTCCCTACCTATGTCCGTGACACCACCCACGCCCTCCACCTCCTCCAGAACTTCCAATTCCCCGGTCCCCAACACCTCATCTTTACCATGGACGTCCAGTCCCTCTACACCTGCATTCCCCATGCAGATGGCCTTAAGGCCCTCCGCTTCTTCCTGTCCCGCAGGCCCGACCAGTACCCCTCCACTGATACCCTCATCCGCTTAGCCGAACTCGTCCTCACACTCAACAACTTCTCTTTCAATTCCTCCCACTTCCTACAGACAAAGGGGGTAGCCATGGGTACCCGCATGGGCCCAAGCTACGCCTGCCTCTTTGTAGGTTACGTGGAACAATCCCTCTTCCGTACCTACACCGGCCCTAAACCCCACCTCTTCCTCCGTTACATTGATGACTGTATCGG